TAAACATAACTGGCTGGGGTCCCTGAAGGAGGGCCATCCTGGGAGTGTTTAGAGGATTGGGATCCCATAATCTTAATTTAGAAGTTCAGAAAAACAAATGAGTACTCACCAAAAGGATGAGGCCTTCAAAAAAATAGATCCCGAATAAAGTCAGAGAGCTTGACCAAAAAGAGGGGGCTCGAAGCCGAGAGGAGACTTATAGAACTGAAAGGAAAAAACCTCACGGAAGCAGAGAGCACAAAGTAGGTACCACACATGATTCTGGGGGTTGCTGGTTCCTCAGGTGTTTGTCTGCTTTGGGTCCCTTTGTGGTTGGCATGAAATGTCAACCTTAAAAATGCAATACCAAGTTCTTTAGCTAGCCGAAATGACTTTATTCAGGCATAGCAGAGGAATTGCAATTTGAGACAAGCGAACTATGGTGAACCACAGGCAAGTCTGAGGAGACAAAGAGAAGGTCAGCTTTTATTAGGTTTTATGAGGAAATTGGGGAGGGCTGTGGCAGTTTTTCATTGACTACAAGTGGTGGGCAGCTGGTGGTTGCTGAGTCAGAAAGAAAGTTTTTTTTCTTCCTGCTGGGGTCTGCAAGCTGCGGTGAGTGGTATGGGTATGAGAGCCCTCCTTCATGGCTTCCTGACTCCATTTTGATTTAGGTTTCCTTTGTTCACTTTCACAATGTAACTGGGGGCCCTCCAGGACCAGTTCAACTGACCCCATCTCATCAACAGAGTGGTTAAGAGTTGTCTTTCAGGGACTGAGATCCCTTGTCCAGCTCAGGCTGGTTGAGACCATCAACGCCTCAACTGGGCCTGTGCAAATACTTGATAAGTGACCTTTTTGACGTCAAGGACTAAAAACTTCACCATCAGATCATGGTAACGCCACTATTTTGTGAACATGCATCCTATGAAGAGGCATGAAGCTTGATGACATTTGTACAGATCATCAATGACCTCACTTCTCCTTACTTCTAATCATCTATCTCCACACTTCAGACTGCCCTGCCCTTCCTCCCATAAATTGTGCCTCAAGCCCTGGATTGGGGAGACAGATCTGAGGGCACATGTCCCCTGTCTCCTTGCAGATCCATCTCACAAAATAAAGCTACATTTCTATTCCCAAAAGCTGATGCCATAATAATTGGCTTTTTTATGCACACTGGGTAAGAGAATCCCAATATTGTGTGGTAGCAACAACACTACAAACAACCATGAACAAAAATAACGTGCTCTTTGATGGTATATAGCCACTCTGTACACCCCACTTCTTTGGTGCCCTTCCCTCCTTGGGGAAGGAATGCCCCAGGCTGTATGGTCCTCAAATTTGGCTCATAATAAACTCACCCCAATTTTGATTTATAGATTGGTTATGGATTATTTGTGTCAAGAAGACAAATGACCCAGTTTCTTTAAATTTAAATGGCAAGGAAATAAAAAAGAGATGAAGGGGAACCTACAGATTAAAAGGAATTTAGGAAACATATGGATCAATTGCAAATTTTGGTCCATATGTTTGGTCCTTATTTGGACCCTAATTCAAATAAACAAACTGTAAAAACATTCTATACCATTTATGAGATAATTGGAAATTTAAACACTGGATATTTGATACTTAGGAAATGTCAATTCTTTTTAGGTGTGATAATGGTATGAAAGTTATATTTATGGCTGAAATGATATGATGTCTTCAATTTGTTCAAAATAATATTGGATGGGTGGGTGAAGGTATAAATGGAAAAAGGTTGACCATGGGTTGATGGTAATGGGGCTGGGTCATAGGTACCTAGGGTTCATTATACTATTGTCTACTTTTGTGTGTGTTTGAAATTTTCCATAGTAAAAAGCTAAAGAAAAAATTTCCTTTGACTTTGTGGGACTTTGTGTGAACCCGTGGGAAGAATTTTGGATTTAGATACAGAATCTTCAGAATGAGCCCTAGTTCTACCATTTATTTTGTGGCAAGAGTGAGCTGGGTAGCTGGGTAAATCACTTCATATCTGTCATCCTCATTTTCTTCATCTGTAACATAGAGTAGAGAATCAAATGATACAATGGGTATTCAAATGCTTTGCAAAGAGCTTTGCAAAAGTTCTGGTATCCACTGACTATGAGTTCTTTGAAGTCAGATATGGCATCTTCTAATATTTTTTCAGCACTATGTTAAGCATATAACAGGTGCTTGATAAGTGTTTAGCTTCAGTTTTCTTATTCTATTAAATTATTATTTATTAAATGAATGAATGAATGGGTACATCCCAAAGTCTAGGTTTCAGACTCCAAGGTTTCAGGATCATTCTTGATCATTCATTCAATAATTAAGACTTATGATGAATGAATGAAAGTAGGAGACACATTCTGGCAATTATTATTTAATATGTTACATTATACATATTCAAGTAGAACCTATTATATATATTATAGGTTATATTTGCTCCCCTCCTTTCATGATGGCTCCTAGGCTGAAAACAGTGGAGGTGGGAAGCTCTTGTTCAATGTAGATTTTTCAATCATGGAGATAATCTTCACTTAGAAACAAAAATAAGCAAAGTTAAAGCTGGGACTGAGTTCTTGGTCTTCCCTCTTGGAGCTTCTTTGGGTTCCACCAGAGGGAGCTTCATGCTGCTTAGCTTCACTGAGGTGTGGGGTACACAGGAGACTATTCAGTAAGTATGCATTCACTCATTTAGCAGGTGCGCACTCAGTGTCTACTCTGTGCCTAGCAGTTTTAGGTGTTGAGGATACAGAGATGAATAGGACCTGAACCCTGCCCTCAAGGGACTCAGTCTAGAGCGGAGACAGACATGTAAACAAGTAATGATGGCATAGTGCAGCAAGGCCATTATAAAGGTGTCACAAGGTGTAAGGGAACTATTAACTCTGGCTCCAGGGGTCAGGGAAGCCGTCACAGAATGTGAGTTTTAACTTTGAAAGACAAATAAGAATTCATCAGGTGGACAAAGTAGACAGAATCACATGTACAGATACATGTGTGGGGGTAAGAACAAGCATGGGATCAGTTTGGCATGGCTAGGAATAAGGTTCAAGGAGCACGAAGAGGGGCTGGAAAGTTGGCAGGGGCCAGATCATGAAAGGCCTTCATCCATGAGAAGAGAAGAGTCACTTAATGTATACGTCCAACTCATGAGAGATCTTAAAGTAAACTCTAGGAGGGCTTATACCCTTATCCTAGTTATGCACAAAAGAGTTTCTTAGTTTTTTTAGTTTTTTGTCTTTTAAAGCCTCCTCAGGCACCATTCACACACTTCACAAGATCATCATTACACATTTTCACAAGATCATCATTCTCGTGATTGTATAATCAATGCCCAGTTTGGTCCCCCACTTTCTCACTTTCTTTGGATTTGATCTACTTGACTTTTAAATGTGTCCAAAAATCAAACTCACTCTCAGAAGCATGAAGATTTGCCATGGCAAAGGATCTCAAAATAAACTGTGGTTCAAGCTTCTACAACAATTCCAAAAGAGTTATTCTGAAATGTTTGGGATAATGTCAGCATCATTAGAATATAAGCTTACACTCAAGGAGACAGCTCTAAATGATAATTTTTGCTCCTTAAAAGAAAGACAGTTACTGCTAGTGTAGCTCAACAGACATTGACGCTCAGAGGGCATATGACACTGGAACAGACTGGAAGAAAACAGCAATGTGGCTGAGACTTTCCCCTGAGTCTTCCCCTTTCTGAAGGTGGGGGTGGACCCCCCACTGGGCTGGGCAGGAGTGCTTTCCCTCTTTCGCTCTGACTCACCTGAGAAGACTCACATCCTGTTTGCCTGGACAAGCGGCGGGTTGCTCTTTCCACCCAGAAATGCTTCTGAGCTGACAGGTCCAACCTGCTTGTTCCCTTGAAGGCATCAGGCCTCAATGGGAAACGGACAGGAGGACAGAGAGGCTGAAATGCCTTAGCTAACTCAGCACCTTTTTCTTCTCAGCGTTCACCAGATAAGAGAAAAAGTGGTTCTGAGGCTTGTGGCCTCTGGAGGGTTTCTGAGTAAGACTGAATTTTAAGGATGAAGCGTTTTAATCTGAACAGGGGACTCAGAATATAAAGGGCTGGAAGGGTCCTTAGAAGTCACCTGGTCTAATCCCCTCATTTTATAAATGCAGAAACTGAGGACCCAAGAGTTTAAAATAAGGTGACCCTACATTCCAGTGTCTCTGAGATGGTCCTGGTTTATGCCTGTTTTTCCAGTGTAAATATCAATAATACCACTTTCACTCTCAAAGTGTCCCAGTTTGGTGATAAATTATATGGTCACCCACACTCTACCTTAAGAGGAAAGAGAGGCTATCCATAGGCGGAGAACAGTGAACAGGAATGTTAGGGGAAAAAACTGTATGAAAAAGGCTTAAAGGTGAAAATCAGAATGAATTTAGCATGTCAGATCTCTTTTTCAGTGATTCTCTTGCTAAATGACATTTTCTTTCATAGAGTTTTTGCTTCTCAAGACAAAATAGAGAGTAATAAATATAAATGTAAAAATCTTGGTTAATTTGGAATTTCTTATTACTAGTACTATGGTTAAATTCTGTTTGGCTGTTACAAACTACTATAAATCATTCACATAAAAATACTGAAGAAACAAACCAGATTAGGGAAAAAACTCAAAATGAGAGTGGCTTTTTGGTGAAAGAATAACCTGCCTTTGGTTTTGTCAAGGAGGAAGAATTTTTAATTGAAACTTATGTTTCTGCCATTATCCTGAAAGTACTCACTTCTGCTAACCCAAGATCAGCTTACTGAACACCAACATGGTGTCAAGTACCGTGTTTGATCCATGAGAGAGGGCACTTCTTTTCTCAAAGCTGATAGACTTTTAATGACCATATCTGTTTCAATGAACTATTACAAATATTTTATAAGAATGTCACGTCTGTCTTGGGGTTTGGAATTCTCTGTGTTCCAGTGTACCTTCATTAAAAGGTCAGGTCATCGGTGTAGAGACTCCACCTTTTTTTAGTCAAGTTTTTATTCACGTACCTATAGAAGAGTGTACAAATCAGAAGTGTGCAGCCTGATGAATTTTCACAAAGTGAACATACCCTTGTAACAAGCACCAAGTTGGAGAAATAGCAGTTCAACAGCCCCAGAAGTCACCATTGTGCCCCCTCCTGGTCACTATCCTCACCCTAAGGATAATGACTATCCTACCTGTTACCACCACAGATTAGTTTTGCCAGTTGTTGAACTCAGTACAAATGAAATCATATAGAGAATATTCCTAGAGTTTTAAAAACATGTAAATTCATTGTCGATATTTACAGAGTGATTTCACCAAAAAACTCCAGAGTTTTTCTTTTAAAAAAGATGTGACAGCAGACAGAGAAAGACAAATGCTGTATGATCTCACTTTTACATAGAATTCAAAAAAAACCCCAACTCACAGATACGGAGAACAGGTTGGTGGTTGCCAGAGGCAGGGGTTAGGGGGTGGGGGAAATGAGTGAAGGGGTTCAAAAGGTACAAACTTCCAGTTTTAAAATAAATAAGTCCTGGGATATAATGTACAGCCTGGCAACTATAGTTAACAATACTGTATTGCATATTTGAAAGTTGCTAAGAGAGTAGATCTTAAAAGTTCTTATCACAAGGGAACAAAAAAATTTGTAACTATGTTTGGTGACAGATGTTGACTAGACTTATGGTGATCATTTAGCAATACATATAAATATGGAATCATTATGTTGTACACCTGAAACTAATATAACATTATATGTCAGTTATATCTCAATAAAAAAATTAAAAAAAAAGATGTGACAGGATCCTTGTGGAGATACAAATGTTCTGTATTTTGACTGGATTAATTTCAATATCCTGGTTATGCTATTGCACTAGAGTTTTGCAAGATGTTACCATTGGGAGAAACTGAGTAAAGGGTACAGGGGATCTTTCTGTATTATTTCTTACAGCTGCATGTGAATCTACAAGTATCTTAAAATAAAAAGTTTAATTAAAAATAAAAAACAGTATGTTAAGATTTAAAAAATAAGATGTGACAACACTAGGCCTACCTTTCTCATGGCAACAACTGGCTGGAGCTGAGGAGCAGATGCGCCTGTGGATGGGGACACGTTCTCTCATGTGCCACAGTCCCCACTTATTCCTTATTGTCTCGCACTTGGCCAGCTTCCCTCATTTGTTACCTGCCTACTCCTGGGTCTGGGTCAATGCTAGACAGAGGGGGGAGCTACAAACTGTTTTCCTACTTTTTTTGCGTATGTACTTTTTCAAGATTGACTTTCCTCATTCCAGTTCATCATGACGATTCTTACCAGATTTTGGCATTAGCTTTGTCTATTTGACTTAGTTTTCACTTTACATTTCTGTAGGGATCCTGGGAGGGGTTGCGTGGAGATCTGCTAGCTGGATGTCATCTAAAATCAGAATTGCCGTCATGAAATCTTTTTCAGTGACATTCTTCTATTTTCTATTTTTCTTGCTCCTTAACTGGCTCTTCTTCCATCTGGCCCCCTAGTTGGCAATCCTTAGGGTGAGCCCTTTGCTACTGACCTTCATGACCTTGAACAAGTTACTTTACCCCTCTGGGTGTCAATATCCCCACGTGCACAATAGAGATTGGGCTCATCATTGTTTCCCAAACCAGTGGTCAGCAAACTCTGTGTATGACCAACATGAGGTTCTGCTGCACATGACTGGTACAAGGCTCACATCTTATGCCTCCTGCTATGCAATTTGCAACACCCACGCTGTTTGATACTCTATACAATGAGTAGTCTGATCATGGCCTTGGATGTTGTGGCAATGTCAAATTACTTATAATAGCTTTAAACACTTAGTCTCAGGTTTTATATTTATCTCCTTGAGGACTAGTGACAGTTCCTGGGTCATCTGCAGACCACACTTTGAGAAATACTGTCCCCGATTTTTTCAGTGAACAGAAAGTTCTAGAAAGATTAATAGGTGATGTGTAAAAAACAAAAACAAAACTAGTTCCATGTTAACTTGGTAAGAGCCCTGAAAAGTACTGTATCTAAAAACAAAACAAAATCTGTTTGTTTAACCTAGTATTTTCCCTTGAGTACAGAAACTTCTTTTCATTCAACACCTACTCACTCCTTGAGGAGTGGTGTTTGTCTAAATGCCAATTTAGGGCACGGTAGTGTAACAGGTCTCCAAGGTTTCTTGCAGTTCTAAGAGTTTGACTCTTGATCCCGTGCTCTCTTCCTGTCCACATTTACTCCTTGGAACAAAGCACTCCTCCCTATTGCTTGAGTTACAGATTTCATACTTCTCCCACTCGTGATGTTATCTGAGATCTAATGTATCTGCAAGCCCTTTTTCTCCCTGGGATGATTGTTGCAAAAAGTCAAGAAAGAGAGGTGGAGTTACAATTTATCAAGGACCCTGGACAGAAAGTTGCTGAGGCTGAGGCCAGGGAGAAACAGAATTGCTGATTTGGATTTCAAGTCAGGTCTTGCTGCAAGCTTCGTGAGTAAGCCTTCACTTGCTGTTATCCTGTAAGCAGGCTAATTGCAAGTTCAGCTTTCCTCCAAGAAGATTAGGTCTGTTTTCAAAGGTAAGTGAACTGTCTCAGTGATGTTTATGGAGCAAAATGTTTGAAGGTGTTGGAAAAGGTGAAGCTTTTTTCCACTCTGCCTGGCACAGTACAGCTCATGTGGAGATTTCATCTTTTAATTAACCAACAGATTATCCTCCACCCCTCTTACTGTTATAATTCACTGTGTGCTTGATGCAACCGCTTTTGCTTACCTATGCTTAAATCCTTGAATGTGTGTAAAACCCCTTAATAATGTCTATTACCTTTAGAAAAAAGTAAAGCCTCTTTAGCATTACTGACAAGTCCCTATTGCCTTTCTCTTTTACTCTTATTTAAAATTTCCATTACTTATTAGAATTTCCCTTACATTATTAGAATTTAACTGAAAACTCTTGTAGTACAATGGCAACAAAAGAATCTCACCTTCAATAGCTCCTTTCCTGCTTTTCTGCCTTTTAAATCCTAAACTGGTTTTGTAAAGGAAGGATCATAAAGTTTGGAATTAAAGCCCAGCTATACAACTTCCTAGATATGTGGTCTTAGGCAAGTTACTAAATCTCCTAGACTCATTTTCCTCTTCTGTAAAATGGGGATATTAATAAAGTCCTTTCCAAGGTGGTTGTGAGATGTAAAGATATTAAAAATAAGTTATGGGCCGGCCCCGTGGCTTAGCGGTTAAGTGCTAAGTGCATTGGTGCGTGCCCGGGATCCGAACCCCTGGCCGCCAGTAGCGGAGTACACCTACGCACCGCTTCTCCGGCCATGCTGAGGCCGCGTCCCACATACAGCAACTAGAAGGATGTGCAACTATGACATACAACTATCTACTGGGGCTTTGGGGAGAAAAAAGGAGGAGGATTGGCAATAGATGTTAGCTCAGAGCTGGTCTTCCTCAGCAAAAAGAGGAGGATTAGCATGGATGTTAGCTCAGGGCTGATCTTCCTCACAAAAAAAAAGTAAGATGTAACAAATGGTAGTTATTACTATTACCACACTCCAGCATCCTACTTGCAGTTACTACACAGGCTGTGCTGTTTCACTCCTAACTCCAGGCCTTGGCCCAGAGGGCCCTGCTTTTCGGTCAACTGGTCTTCATTTTTCAGGATGCCGTGTATGTTTAACCTTTTCGGAGAAGGCTTCCCTAATGCTCCCAGGCAGTTTGTCCTTATTCTTGTGCTGTCACTTATACCCAGCATATACTTTTTTATTGCATAGCACCCTGTATCGTGACTACTTTTTTTTTTCAGCCTGACCATTCCTTGAGGTCTCAGATCGTATCATTTCTTTTTTACCCTTGAATTCCTGAGGACTGTGTCTAACACTTGGTAGTTGTGCAAAACTATTTTTTTAAAAGACAAATAAGTAATAGGACACCGAAGCAACAAAATGATGAGATTTTGGCATAATTCAAACCTCATTTTAGACAAAATTTCCAAGTATTTTCCCAACAAATCTTTTCTTTAGGAGAGATGCTGAGAAGAGGATGCCTAATGTTTATTTCATTTACTTTGGCTTCAAAAGTCTTCCAGAATGGTGGAGGTGGTAGTGGTGCGGAGGGAAGGAAGGCTCTACTGGTCAAAGAGTGGCCTGTACATACAATTGAGGGTCGACTGTAGACATGTTTGATAAATTCTAATGAGGAAGGGAGACTGGTGTTGTAGAATGAGTTCAACTTGGCTCTGGAGTTGACATGAGAGTTAGGCAGGCCTGGTTTTGCATTCTGGCCATGTCACTAGGTAGGTAACCTTGGGTATGCTACTTGATCTCTACGTCTCAGACTCTGGACAATCTCCTCTCTTGTTCGTGTCACCAGCTGTGTCAGATCTCCTCTGTCTTTCAGACGTCTGCTCCTCCAGCTCCTTGCCTCACTCTGGGACAGTGACCTTTCTTCCCCAGTATGTAAATAAAGTAGAAACCATTAGATGAAAACTTCCTCAGGAGGGGAAAAAACACACACACAGAAACACACACATACACTCACACACAGAGATGAAAACTCCTTCAATTTTCGGTCCCAATGCTTCTACTTTCAAAGTTAGCCGTATCTGTGCCCAGCCTGGGGTTCCCCCTTATCGAGGTTAGCCATGTCAATTATCTTCCAAACTGTAACACTGGAGAGGGAAAGGGGTACTATTAATCATTACAGTGGAACAACGGATATAAACCAGGCCTGTCCTGAGTTAACAGAACATTCTTAACCTCTTGTTAACAAGGAAAGAGGTACACTTCCTCCTGTTTACTGGCTCATTCCTATAAGTGTTTTAACATGCTAAAACTTTCCCTTTTTAAAACCACAAATGAGCCAAAAACTAAAAAACTTCTTTCTACTCCTGTTCCCTTCCAGCTGCCTCCTTTTCTGCTCCCCTTCATAGGCAATGTTCTTTATAAATTACCTCCTCACCTTCTATTTACCCCTCAATCTACTGCAAAATGGCCTCTACCCTCACGACTTTTCTGTTGAAACTGCTTTCACCAAGGTCACCAGTTGCGGATCTAGTGGACACTTTCAGTCCTTATTTTACCTGACTCTCAGCAGCATTTGATATTTTGTATCTTTGCTCTTTTTTGAAACACCCCTCTTCCTTTAGCTTCTGTGACACCACTCTCTCCTGTTATTTTCCTCTCTCCCTCCCTTTCTGCTGGACACACTTATTCAGTCTCTTCAGAGATCTCCCCTTCTCCTTGTTGCTGAGGTGTCGCTCAGCCTTTAGATTTTGTGGTAGGGCCTTGTCCTTTCTCACTCTACAGTGGTCCTGGGACATCTCTTCGATTCTCATTCCCCCAATTACCTTCTAGAAGGGCTAAAGCCCTCAGACTGACATCTTGAGCCCAGAGCTCTCTTTGGAGCACAGATCCGTTTATCCCATTGTGTACTGAACGTCTCTGCTTGGCTGTCCCACAGGAACATTAAACTCAACAACTCCTCATCTTCTCTATTTCAGAGAAAGGCCACTTCCACCAAGTCACCTATACTAAAAATTTGAGAACGACCCTCCGGTACTTACTCCCCCTCACTTTCACTTCCAATCTTGTCCCACTCTCCATCCATTCTATCTCCTTAATATCTTTCAAACCCTTAACTTCGCTCCATTCCCTCTGCCATTGTCTCAGTTCAGGTCAAATCATCTGCCTGGATCACTGTTCTAGAAGCAGCCTTTTGCCTCCAGTCTTGTTCCTTTCTATTGTCTTTCTCCATGTTGTAGTCGAGTGGTCTTTTTAACATACAAATCTGATCAGGTCACTTTCTGCTTAAAAGTTTTCAACATCTCCCCACTGCTCTCAAGATGAAGTCCAAACTCCTTAACCCTTATCAAGAGCCTTTAGGGTCTGGCCCCTGGTTGGAGTTTCAGCCTCACCTGTGGTCCTTCATTCTCTTTTCTCTCCACCTACAATAGGGCTTAATAGGTATTAGAATGAATAAATCTCTTTGAGCCTCAATTTCCTCATCTATAAAGTGGAAACATTTGCTTATCTTGCAATTATCAAGATCAGAAATGATATATGCAACATGTCTACCGCAGTGCTGGGTACATACTAGACACTTGGTAAATGGTAATATGTTTTTATTAATGGTAATTTTTATTTGTTAAAAACTATCAATAGTCTATAGAATGATGTCTAAACTAGAAAGATGCAAAATAATGAATCTCAAACACTTTATTACTAAATTTGGAGTCGTCAATTACTTAATGCTAAGGAAACTTGGTGAATGAGGGAGCATATTTTTGCCAATGTTTTATTATAAAAATTTTCAAACATGCAGAAAAGTTAGAAGAATTTTACAGTGAACACCTGTATACCCCACCTACGTTCTTCAGTTAACATTTTACTATGCATGCTTTATCATATATCTAGTCATTCCTTCATCCGTCCCTTTATCCACCCATCTATTAACGCATCTTATTCTTCTGATGCATTTTAAAACTAAATTGTGAACATCAGGACACAACCCCCTACATACTTCAGCATTAATGAAAGTTCCATATTTGTTTATAATTCCTTTTTAAAAATATTGAAATAAAACTTGCATACAATGAAACACAAAACTTAAGCGTACACCATTCAAAGAATTTCTGCAAATGCATAAGCCTGTGTAATCCAAACCCCTATCAAGATGCAGAACGTTAATATCTCTCTAGAAAGTTCCCTCATGCCTCTCTAGTCAACCTCTGTCCCCACTCCCCCAAGGGCAAGCACTGTTATGATTTTTTCCCCCAAGAGTAGTTTTTCCTGTTCTAGAACTTATAAATGGAATCAAAGAGTGTGTACTACTTCATGTCTGGCTAATTTTGTTCAACATAATATTTTCGAGATTCATCCATGTGGTTATATGTATCAGTAGTTTGTTCCTCTTTATTGCTGACTACTCAGCAATTGTATGAATATTCTACAGTGTATTTATCCATTTTTCTGTTGATGGACCCCTGGGCTGTTTCCAGTTTGAGGCTATTATGAATAAAGCTTTTATAAATATTCTCATGCAAGTCTTTTTTTGTGGATATATAACTTAATTTCTCTTGGATAAATACCTAGGAGTGGAATTGCTGAGGTGGTTAGCTTTATATGAAACTTAGCTCTATAAGAAACTACCAGACCTTTTCCCAAAGTGGACAGTTTTCAATATCTTAACTAAGTATAATCACAAACAACTAAATTTACCGAGTGTTTTCTATGGGCACTGAGCTTTATTTAAATACAGTATTTCACCTGATTCTTACACCAAGCCTATGGGGCAGATATTGTTATTCTCATTTACATGTGAGATAACTGAGGCACAGAGAATTAAATAACTGCCCAAGGTCACACAGCTAGTAAGTGGTTGAACTTGGATGTGGATCCATGCAGCTCAGACTCCATCTCCTACGCCTCATGCCTCCTAGTATATAGCAGCAAAAAAAGAAGTGCTATTTCTTTTCTCAGGAAATGAATTAATTTCCTAAGAATGAAAATTGGTCATAGGAACCAAGAGATACTGTATTCATCAATAAACACAATGTAAATGTAAATTCTCACCATTATTTAGATGTGGTACCTATAGTGAAGAGGGAGATAACAAATGCATCCACCAAGGTCCTTTATCCTCCTGGGAGATTCTTTCAAGTTATCTTCAAAGACACCCCATCTCTCCAGCCCTGTGCAAATCCATCTAGCTTCTCTTTAGAACCAGTGAAGGGTTAAACTTCAGAGTCTCCTCCTTGGGTGGTTAATAAGAGCATGATGCCTCTTCTCTGTAATTAAGGCAGGAGCCTGAGGCTTCACCAGAGAGATGTATGAGATGCAATGAGGCGGGGAGATAGGAGAACGTCTCTTCCACAGTTTTTCGAAGCTATTAGAGCTCAGTCTCAGATCCAGACTTGCTTTGGAATATCTCTAGGAAACTTAAGGCAAGAAGGAGGACCAAAGGGAATACATCTCTTCTTCTGGGCCAAGAGCCCATCTCTCATCTGGGACTCTGACAACCTAATTTCCCTTTCTCATCTTTGAAAAGCTCTCTAAACCCGACGAAGTTTCAAAAAGAAAAAAAAGAGAGCTATAGATTGGAATTGTTGGTTAGGGAAGGCAAGGAGTCGCTGAGTCTTCTGAAAACAGGTATTAAGTTTGTGCTTTGATTCTGGCTCCTAGGCCAGGGGCCTTATGAGAAAGCTAGTAGAGTATGTGGTGGTTGGTGTCTCAAGGCTTTCCCTCATTATTTTGATGGTTCTGGGAAATACCAAAGTAATTCCACTCTTCTCGGGTCACATATTAGCTACCCCCAACTGGTATATTTGTCAGGATCAAGTCCATACACCTTAGGATGGTGAATGAAGACCTTCAACAACTAGGCCCAGCCTCTGACTCCAGCCTCCTGGCCTGCTACTCCTCCCTGTGCACTAGATTTCAGGAATTGCTTGCAGGTCCCTGTGGATAGCACATTCCCAAATATTTGCCCCCAAAGGAATGCCTTTGTTTCTCTTCTCTCTTTCCAGAATTCCTATTCATCCCTAAGGACCCAGTTCAAAAGCCACAGATATGGTAATTATTTGTTTACATACACACTCCATCTCCTAATTCTCTTGAGACTGATTTTTTCCCCCAGGCAGACATGTCTTATTCTACTTCGTACAGCCAGCCCAGCATATAACAAAAATTTAATGAAATTTTTTCTAGTAAGACAGACATATGGACAGACACTTTTAAGTAAAGAAATGCTTTATTTGAGGCACACTAAGAGCTAAATTATTTGTTTTCCTTGCATCACAGAATGCTATTTTCATCTTGTAGTGAAAAAACATTTTTGCCTAGGATATTAAGATGACAATTTTTACAAATATTGGATACAGGCCAGCTGTTCTTTACATCTTTTGAGCCCTCAATGAGTTCCCTAGTGGCCAGGGTCTAGGCATCCTTTCAAAATATTTTTGGGAAAGGTGTAGGGGGTTGGGACAGATGGGCTGCTTTCAAAACCATTGGTATGCCACAAAGTTTAATGACAACCAGGATTTTTCTCTGGAAAAGTTTAGAAAAAAAGTGATGTCTGAAAACTTCACTTTTCTTCCTTTTAATCTCCAGAACTCCTCTCGGTTTTCTCTTGTTTGCCCAGACACTAACTATCACTTAGGCCCTACCTAGATGCCTCCAGCTTTGATCCAAGTCCTGGCAACCAACGGGCATCCTGGGGACTCCTAGGAGCAAATGTCCTTTTTACTTAGTGTTCTCTTTACTTAATGAGTCCAGCCCTTGGTCTCCTCCCTCCCCACCCAGGGAGGGGAACAGGGTGACTCTGGAGCCTCTTGTGCTAACTGGAAGGAATTGGGCGTTGCTGGGCACAGAGCCAGGAACTTGAACTCTGCTGAGGAATGGGATCGGGGTGGCCCCTGCCCCTCCGAGCAGGGCAGGCAGCCAGCTCACAGGGCGCCCGGCTACCTGGGGCAGAGATTCTTCTGCTCCGGACAATGGGCAGTTTGTTCAGTTCTTCCTGCCCTGATTCCTCTCCTGCTGCTTTCCACTGCACCCCCGAGCTCTTTGGTAACCCTACCTCTCACCAAAGTTTGCAGTTTGCTGTAGACTTCAAAACCTTGGGCTCTACCTCTCCTTCCTTCAGAGCTGCATTTCCCTGCAGGTTGAAAGCCAACAGAGAGGATCAAGTTTCCTCAACTCCTTTTCGTTCAGGCCCTGGAGCTGGACTTTTCAGACCTACATACCAGAAAGGCTCTATTTTACCCTATCATCATTTTAAAGATTCCCCAGCATTCTGATTTTAGGTTGATTTCTGACCTGGAAGCTGACAAGAAGCCAAATACTCTATTTTCAGGAAAACTCATCATAATACATTTACCCTAGGACACTGCTGATCCTCATCTGGGGTGGCCCCTAGGTTTCTAGGTTCTCATGGAACTGATTTTTGTTTTTTTTTTTCACCTTTTTTTGCTCCATGACCATCACTTCTTTCTCCTGCTAGTTTTCTTTTCTCGTTTGCTTTTCTTTTTTTTCACTTCTGTAATCTGCCTCTCTTGGTGGAATTTTCTCTTTTCTTTCCTCGTTGTGATGTTTTATTTTTTCTAGTCAGCCTGCCCCTTCCCCCCTCTCTAGGCAACCTCTCTGTTTCAAGGCTTTACTAGGAGATTTTGAGTCACCAGAGAGTTTCTAGGTTGCTAATCCAGGGATAAAGGCAGTTCATTTCTGCTCAGGGTTAGATTCCTGGTCAGGCCTATTTCTTAGGCCTGTGTAATCTTCATCCCCCTCCTACCACTGTTCCAATGCTGCCTCATTAATCTATAACAATTACCCATCCTCTTTCCAGACAAGGAGGCATCTTTTCTCATTTAAATTCCTCAACACTTTAGACTTCTCAGACAGCTGCCCTAAAAATGGCATATGAAATCTGAGGCACAAAAAGTTATTATGAAAACCTTTTCCTTAGGAGTCCTCTGTCTGATGGTTCATACTAGCTGTTATTTTGTGGAAACAGCACTAGACTTCAGAGTCAGAAAAGTTCTGATTTTGCTACCTATTTGCTGTGTGACTTTGGACAAATCACTTACCTTCTCTGGGCTCTTAGTGTCCTCACTGGTCAAATGGGAACACTTCATAGGAGTATTGTGGAGATAGAATAATAAGCAAGAAAGCACTTTGCAAACTGTATTGAGACTGTAGGGTAAATGAGCAGGGATGGCTGATTCTTCTTTAAATCCTTCAAGGGTAAAGGATCACGAGACACTGAGATTTGTTTTGGTCAGTTCATTTTAGGTAGGTCTCAGGGAAACCTGTGAGCTAGAAAAGGTGCAGAAATCCTTGTGGTAACATTTGGCTAAAATTGAGGGTATAAGCTGTAGGACTCTGTCCACAGAGGGTCCTAAGGAATTCGGACTGTTTTGCAGTTGCTGTGAATCCACTCTAGGCTAATGGCCCGGGGGAAGTGCTCGGGAAGTGGAATCACTGTAAGGTGGTTTCAACATTCACTTGCCAGGCAAGCCTAAAGCCTGTTTAAAAAAATAGTGTGTGTGAGCCAAACCCAAAGCAACCTGGGACATTTCAGACTGGCACCACCTCCTCTGGCTGTTTCTGAGGCCATCCAGAGGCCAGAGCCAGAGCCGAGATCAAGTGAAAAGTAAAGAGAGGACTGCAGAGTTTGGGACTTTGTGCAGACGTGCTCACAGTGTGGAGGGTGGGAGGGAGGAAAGGAAGGAGGGCGTTGAGAGCTGAGGCCCCACCTTTCATTCCAGCAGAGTGCACCGGCGGAGCAAGGATGAGTCACAGGCCCGGGCGCTCACATTCCCATAGGTGAGGGACTGACTCCTTTCTCTGGGAAAGCGCCGTGCTCGCTCCTCCTGGAGCGGCCTTGGTGGGGGTGTTGGAGCCCTCCGTCTGCCAGGTCTGGTCTCTGGGGCCAGGGCTGGGTTTCCCTCATGTATGGCAAGAGCCCTACGCGTGCTGTGCTGCTTCTCCTTGGCATCCAGCTCACAGGTAAGAGCTGGTGGGCTTCTCTCAGCAATTCCTCTTCATTGCCTGCCCTATAAAGTTGGCTAATTGTCTAAGAACTCGCAGAGTTTTGTCTGGGAGCCTGAGGCACAGTTGTAGTTCGTTTTAGATTTGATTTTACTGAAACTGAAGTTGGAGGGTTGTTTTGGGGAACTGCTTTTGGACAAACAGGTTTAGGTGTGTTCCGGCTGCCAGTGATTTGGGCACAGAGAGGGCTTTCTAATCTCAGGTTACAAACCATTTTTTGTGGGTACTCTCAACCTCCCACTGCAGGCAGGACTTGGCGCTTGGATTTCTGTGTGTGGGTCTCGTCTGAGACTCTTGGCATCACTGGGAAAGAGATCATTAAGGAGAGAGACCCCCTGTGGTTTTGAAACTGCCCGAACATGTACATTCTAAAAGTAAATATCATAGTAAAAAACGCCACGTGGTATAAAGGTTCTGGGGGTTTGGGCAAGCATAAGCTGTCTGGGGTTGATTAACTCAATTTCTGCAGACGACTAGAAACAGTACGAATCCACATAACAAGGACCCTTTCTGGAAAACTTACCTGCTAGGGGACCATTACACACACAATACATAATGCTTAATCTTAACACATGTCTAATTCATTTTATGATTAGTTTTGATTTTTTGTTTCTGCTTTCTATTTGCTGATGTTTATAGTTTAACAGTTTTGAAGTGGGTACCATGAGCCCAGGGTATCATGCTGTGGAGAAAGTGAGAGCACTAAGGCAGCCTGCCGCGTGGTATTTTTAGCTGTTCTACGGAAAGGGAGGGTCAAGGCTGCAGGTGGGTAGGAGTATGCAGATTCTGGGTGAAGTAAGTTTGAGAGCCAGGGCATCTCAGTTCTGTTTTATGCCCTACTCAGACATTTATCTTGGTAGTGTCAGCAAAGTTCTTAATACATACCTCCCGTTAACCCTTCTTTTTCCTTTGCTTCATTGCAGCTCTTTGGCCTACGGCAGCTGTGGAAATTTATACCTCCCGAGTGCTGGAGGCTGTCAACGGGACAGATGTTCGGTTAAAATGCACTTTCTCCAGCTTCGTCCCTGTGGGTGATGCTCTAACAGTGACCTGGAATTTCCGTCCTCAAGATGGGGGAGCTGAGCAGTTTGTAAGTAGATTATTGTCATTTTCCAGGGGAACTAGGTTAGGAAAATAAGTCAGTCCATCTCCCCTTGCCCTTCCTGTATTTTTCCTTGCAACAAGCATAGAGTAAAGCTGAGAAACAATTCTTGGGACAGAGACTGACAGAACTGAGATGCAGGTCAAGGAGAAAGCAAGAGGTTCTTACAAGAGAGCTGCAGATGGGGTAGGAGGCTTGCTGGTGTTTCTCTTCTGCTCCCGCCATCTCAGCCTCCTTGCCCAGGTCTTGAATAAGACCTTCTGCCACTTCTCCTCTCTAGGTATTCTACTACCATGTGGATCCCTTCAAGCCCATGAGTGGGCGGTTCAAGGACCGGGTGGTCTGGGACGGGAACCCTGAGCGGTATGACGTCTCCATCATCCTCTGGAAGCTGCAGTTTGATGACAATGGGACATACACCTGCCAGGTGAAGAACCCACCTGATGTTGATGGGCTGGTAGGGGAGATCCGGCTCAGCGTCGTACACACTGGTAGGTTATGCAGGGGAAACGGTTTTGGGTAGTGTAAGAGCTTGTAGAAAAGAAAAGAGAGGGGTAATCTTTTGTGATGGGTGAAGGAGTAGAGAGAAGGACTAGCCCTTCGGATCTGGAAACAACAGAGGGAGACTGAAGAGTCCTGGGGTAAAAAGAGAAAGGCTTTGTTTGGCTGTGGAAAGAAACAGAAACTAAAGCAAAGGGACCCAGGGAATCTGTTACAAAAATGGCATTGAGATCATGAAAGGGAGAGGAAGCAACTCTCTGACATAAGGCTAACAATAGGTCTGTTCATTCACTCACTTATTCACAAGATACTTATTTAGTACTTACTCTGTGTCAGGCACTGTCCAAAGTGCTTGAATGTACTCTCACTAATCCTCACAGCCACAGTAGGAGGCAGATACGCACCATGGTAGCCATCGTTCATCGAGTACTTCCCACTCGTCAGGGGCTTTACATATCTTATTTAATCTTCACATATCCCATCAGCTTATTGTGCTCTTAGTGCCCCCCATTTTACTAATGAGGAAACTGAGGCTCATAGAGATTAAGTCATTTGTCCAAAGTCATGTAGCTGCTAAATGGAGTCACTTAGAACTCCAACCCAAGCATCTTTGATTCCAAAATTGTGCTCCAAGTACTACATTGTACTGCCCGAAGTCCCATGAAGGACAACCTGGAAATCTGCTGGATAACAAAAAGCAAAGACCATAAAACTTAACAGTTGCAAATTTGGGTTTGAGTCACTGCTACCATTTACCAGCTGTAAATAAATCTATTATTTTTTCTCCTGTAAAGTGAGAATAATAGAGCAAGGATTATAGTGAGGATAAAATGAGATAATAAATGTATAAATTCTCCAAATACTGAATTGTACTGAAAATTATAATAGCTACCATATAGTGTTTATTATGTGCATGCAT